CAATTGTGAGTGAATGGTTTAAACATGAACCTTAGCTTGTGTGCGCCAAGGACGTGTTCAGCGGCCGTGATGCGAGGTGTGGAGAAAGTGAAATGTTCAAGAACCTGTCATCGTGGACACAAGAATTATGGACCGACGTGTTACCGGGTGATCATTGCGGATGGGATCGGGTCGGGTGGGTCGGGTCGGGTCGGGTCTGGTGAAAACTAATACGGGGCGACCACTACGGCTGGATCGGGCCGATCGCCCGACTCGGTCGCCTAAAACTGAAAACTAACAAGTTTGTTTTTCAGGCAACCGAGTCGGGCGATCGGCCTCCATCTGTAGAGGACACCCCGTAAAACGCTTTTGTTTTTGAGACGACGAGTCGGGCGATCGGTTTGTACCACTACAGTCGCTTTGTTCCCTCAATCTAGCGAGCACACGGCCCGAACCGATCGTGCCAATGGGCACTGGATATTATACGACTGGTTCTTGTTCTGTTCTGCTCCCGATTTCTCATTCTTTGGGTCGCATCTGACAAATTAAAACAAATATCCTCCACCCCTTTCCGCTCTTTGCTTTCCTCTGTATGTCCTCCAGCTCCATGGCTGTCCATTTTCAGATGTTATACTCCCATCTCTTCTTCTGTCTGTCTCTCCTCGTCGTCGATGCACATTGCCTTGTAGAATAGTTATAGCAAGGTCTGAAGAAAGGGTGACATGACCATACCTTTTCAGCTTGAGTTTCGTTTACCAGTGATAGACGGTCGGTGTTAAACCCGATTACATGTCTCATTCGTCTTTTCACCTCTTCATTGGTGACATGGTCTTTGTATGAGATGTTAAACAACTGGTTACAAAGGCACAAACTAACAAAAATGCCTATTTTCGTGAAATGCGCGACTACAGTCTACATTGTGCTTCAGTGTTATCAGAATGTTAAGATATTCATACGATTTTATGGTTTACGCAGAAAGTGATCATGATTTTTTTTTTCAAATGTATCAGATCTATTTTTTTTATTTCTGAATACAGTACCTTGTTTCTGTAATGAAGTTACCTTTTTTCCAACAGAGGACAAAAGATCGTCTTTATCTCGCAGTTTTCTATGTACTAGACATTATTGGGAAATTCCCAAAGTCCTTTAAAAGACACAGTGTCATAAAGAAAAGAATGCAGTGATCGCGATAACAATTTCTCATTTTCTGCTTATTCGCTACCTTAGAATTATCAAGTTAAATCAGACATTTTCTGCCCTTTTGAGTAACTAAAACCACACAGTCAGAAAACAAATGTTCTATCTGCTCTATGAGAATCGTAAGATTACTCGGAGTTGTTATCAATATATAATTCAAAAGACTGCTTTCAAAAAAGCTTGACATGTGAAATTTCAAATTTGTTTTACCTCAAATTTCTCAAAAGTAGATATTGAGCAGACAGAACTTTGTAATTCTAAGGGACCGTATTGTCGACACATCGATTATGGTCTGTCGACTATTTAACCAACCAGGAGACTATTCTCCTCAAACTGTGATTTCATCAGATAAATCAGTGTCTCATTGAGTGAAGAATTAAAACGACAGTTTGTAGTATTGTAAAAAAAAAAAAAAAAGAAGAGTTTTGCTTTGATACGGGGACATTTCTTTGTCATTATTTCATTTTTAAAATCTTTTAACTCTACAGTTCAATTTTTGTGAAGCTTCAGGTGATTTGTTACGTTGCCGGTTTTTCTTTCTTAGAGAAAAAAAAAATCGCGTGTACCGATTTCTTACTTGCAGACCGCGTAATATATTTGTTTCCCTTCTGACACAGCAATTTGTAACATTCCTTTCTTCTCTACGATATCGTAATTGATACCTCACCTCACTGGATAGAAAATTTCAAAGACAAAAATAAGGGGAAAGGGGTGAGGTTGAGGAAAGCCTCTTTGTACACATACTTACTTACCTGAAGGCGAGAGAGAGAGAGAAAAAAAACCCCCTCGGTGAACGCAACAAACTAGGCAGCAGGTTGGCTTACAAACTGCCCTTAAATCATTGACGACACGCACTCGTGGCTTTTCTACTGCTTCCACGGCCAAGAACGCTCTTTTCCACTTGTGAATAGGTCGGTGGAGGTGTAAAGCCAAACAACTTAATCTTTATCTCTTATTTTAATTCCTGTAGCTTTTTGTTGTGGAGAGAAATCGGGGAAGGTGTCAGCTTGACGCAAAGGGAATAAAAACAAATTCTTGACAGACGGATTTTGCCAAAAGAAACGGCAGCAGACATATTTCGTAAATAGAAATACAAATACAAAGGAAGGCTAAAGAGACATGGGAGGGTGAAAAGAAATCGAAACAGAGGGGCGGGAAGGGGATAGAATGAGAGAGAGAGAGAGAGAGAGAGAGGGAGAGAGAGAAAGAGAGAATGGTGCGGACATTGGAGACCGACTAACAAACAGGCTGGCAGACAGACAGACAGGTAGACAGACAGACGAAACAGACAGACAGTATCAGATATAAAAGACGAAAACAAGCAACAACAAAAACGATAGACAGAGAAAGAGACAGAGATAAATGTTTGCGAAGAATAGCAATGGCTGGACGTCTGTGGTAAGTAGAAAAATATGCAAATTTGTTTTGCACGCTCCCATTCAGACGCGATGCTGATTTCAGGCACACAGAGTGTAAGTCAAAGGCCGGACGGCGAGATACACGCAAGCATGAACACAAACACACACACACATACACATACACACACACACACACACACACACACACACACTCGCACTCACACCCACACCCACACTTCATTTCCATTCATTCGTATTAGCTCACTGCACACGTTTCAGAGAAGGATGATCAGAGTGAAAGATAAAAAGAAGAGGGAGAAGGGGATGTGTGTATCTATGCGCAGAAGGAGAGAGAGAGAGAGAGAGAGAGAGAGAGAGAGAGAGAGAGAGAGAGAAACAAACCGGCAGACAGACAGACAGACAGAGTAAGTATCTAGCTTAACGCTATTAATGTTTATATTACTGTTCATTTATAATATGCGTGTCACTGTGGGCCTGTCTGTGAGTGCAAGCGTACTCTTGCATTATTATGGTTATGTGCACAGATGTGTGTGGAAGAGAGAATGTGTGAGTGTGCACATGTGCGTGCGTATGCGTTTGTGTGCATGCGTGTGTGTGTGTGTGTGTGTATGTGTGTGTGTGTGTGTGTGTGTACGTGATGAAACACAAAACCAGTGTGCCAGGGTCTCGACAATAAAAATGTATCTTACAGGCAGACAGACAAAGAAATTGATAATAGTGACCTTATGTTTATGAAAAGACTGAATATATTAGACGACAACAAGAACATCTAATAATAATAATAATAGATAGCATTTGTATAGCGCATATCCCCGCTCAACAGCAGGCTCTATGCGCTTTACACTATATTATTACCCCAGCAGACGATAGAACACTCTGAAACATTCTCAGCTTCCCGGGAAGCATACAGTGCAAGCAGCTGATAAAGCGCTCAAACACTAACAAACTGACAAGATCTTTCGCTGTCTATAGCTGGGTACCCATTCCCACCTGGGTGAAGTGAGGAAAATTCGTGTAAGGTGCCTTTCCCAAGGACACAACGTCGGGCCCTTGACGGGTTTCGAACCCACATCTAGCAGAACAGATTGACCCCTGGTCTAAGGGTAGGTAAGCTATAACTCTTATCCTTCTCGGAAGAGGGCGAAAACATCGTGGAGGTGGAGAATACAAGTTCCTCACGTTAAAGATATATTGTGGTCCTAAAATTCATAAGAGTAAGGTTTGGTCGCCACCCAGGTAAAATTCAAAATTCCTGCCAAACTGAAAATGTTTAAATTGTCCTGCGCGCTCATTTGACCTTATGCAGTGGCGTCAGATTTCGAACCCGGGACTTGTTAAATGAGAGGGGAACACCATGCCTCTTGATCACGAGAAGCCCCAGTAGTAGAACTGTCTAAAGCAGCATTACTTAGGCTGTAAATGCAGCGACCAGTATCACCAAACACATTCTGACACTGTTCGCTACAAACGTAACTGACGTGAGCCACTGCCTCGACTTGGAAATACAGTTGTACTTTGCTCTAACGATTACCTGTCCAAGACAACTAGATCTTCCTGTTCAAGACAACCACCTGTTCAAACTACCTACTCCAATATTCCGCCCTGCCCCTTTTGTTTTTTGTTTTTATTTTTGCTATGCTATAATAACATAGTCCAAGACAACTACCCGTCAATGTTGACCACTTCTCTCCACGACAATATTGCTGATAATGACGATCATCTTGAACAAGTCCGACGTAGTTGATAGTCAAATGGTTAGGATGCCAGACGTGAGGTTGCCGGTTCGGGGATTCGAGCCTCAGGCCCGACGTTGTGTCCTGGGGAAGGTACTTTACACACGTTTTCCTCACTTCACCCAGGTGGGAATGGGTACCCGGCCATAGACAGCGAAAGATCTTGTCAGTGGTTCAGCGTCTATAAAATGACAGCTTGCACTGTAAGCTTCCCAGAAAGTTTACTTTGTTTCAGAATGTTATCAGATCTGCTGGGGTAATATCATAGATTTAAGCGCATAGAGCCTGCTGTTGAGTGAGAATTGGCGCTATACAAATGATATTATTTATCTGTTCTGTATTCAACAAAACATCGCTTTCAAGCGAAGATAGACAATAGGGAAACAAACAAAAGAGGAAAATCCATTTTTTTAAAACGTCGCTGCTAGTGACGTGAGTGGCCTAGCGGTTAGGCTACCGGACCCGTAATTGTGAGAGTGTGGGTTCGGGGTTCGAGCCTCAGCTCAGTCCGACGTAGTGTCCTTGGGAAAGGCATTTTACACGAGTTTTCCATTTGTCTCGGTCCCTTCGGAGAAGGACGTTAATGTCGGAGGTCCTCTCTCTTAAAAAACCTAATAGTGTTGATAAGGGCGCTAAACGTTTACCACATCATCACCCCCCCCCCCCCCCAACAAAGCTGTTATTGCTATGTTCACGCTTTATATGTCCACAGGTACAAAAGAAACAGCGTTCGTGTATGCTGTGTTGAGTGCCGGCGTGGTGCACTCAGTGACCCAGGCCTGCTCAGTGGGGAATCTCACCGACTGCTCCTGTGATATGTCCAGGTGAGAAATATTGCTATAGGCTTACTGAAGTTTTAAAAAATCTTCTTCTTGTTCTTCTTGTTCTTCTTGTTCTTTTTGTTCTTGTTCTTGTTCTTCTTCTTCTTCTTCTTCTTCTTCTTCTTCTTCTTCTTCTTCTTCTTCTTCTTCTTCTTCTTCTTCTTCTTCTTCTTCTTCTTCTTCTTCTTCTTCTTCTTCTTCTTCTTCTCTTCTTCTTCTTCTCATTATGATGATGATGATGATGATGATGATGATGATGATTTTTATTATTATTATTATTATTATTATTATTATTATTATTATTATTATTATTATCATTATTTGTTATTATTATTATCATTTCTTTCTTTCTTTTTTTCCCGAGTATTTGAACTTTTTTACACCCCTAGCAACAGACACAATGTAGAGAGGCCTTCTACCCCACTTGTTAGGGCTAACCCGGGCCGAAAGGGATATAATATTATATAATGCTCTTGTAGAAAGTGCGAGATGATGGCTAAAAAAAAATTGTCCCGACACGGGAATCGAACTTGAGTCTTCTACATGCAGAGGCGCCCTGCCACTACATCACAGACGTCGTTTTTGGCTTATGTATGTACTGGTTTGTAGTTGTTGTTTTGTTTTTTTACTTGTAATTTTTACTCTTTTTTTTACTTATAAATACTTTTTTTTCTTTTTGTCTTACTTTCGTGTGTTTGTTTTTGTTTTTGTTTTAGCTTTAAAAAATTTTTGGGGGGTTTTGTTTGGTGTTGGGGAGGGGGGGGGGGTGTGTAATGAATAAAAGGTGTGTGTACGATCCAAGCCCGAGTTTATTATTAAAAGAAGTAGAATCTAATGGCGAAGTGGACTAAGCTAGAACTAATACCCACACTTGCACTTTTACATAGACGCATTTGCGAACTCTTGTTTTTAAAGACACGCATGTGGCGCAGTTGGCATCATGCTGGGTGACGCGGTACATGACCTTCATTTCAATTCCTAGCTCAGTGGTCTTGAACTTGGGTTTTTGGAAAAGGTTTCAAAGGTACCTGAGCCCGTCTCTTTTACCTATCGGAAATAGTCGTTGCACTCAAAGACCACCAGCTTCTGGGGTGTAATGGCAAAGTTCCAATTGCTTTGTATACTAGAGGCAAAAGTTCGATTCCCCCATGAACATCAGAGGGGGGGGGGGGGGGGCTCTCGTGGCCTACAGGTTAAAGTGTTGGCCTCTCATTCAAAGGTCCCGGGTTCAAATGCAGGTAGCGACAGGAAAATTTTCTTCTCAAATATTGTCTCCTTTCACCTCCTCTAGCAATGTTCTGTTGTCTGCTTTCGTCTCCTCTTTCTGCCCCTACCCCTTCACCTTCTTTGCCCCCTCCTGTGGGCTCCTGACTCTTTCTGCAGCCTTTCTACTGCTGCTCCTTGGCTCCTTCTTACTGCTGTCTTTCAGCCACACTCCTGATCTTCTGGTAGAAAAGATCTATACCTAGCCTTTTCAGACAAGGGCGAAAGATCTCAGAGTTCTCGTGTGCAAGTTGCGCATGTTAAAGATCCCTTGGTGGTCTAAAACCGATAAGAGTAGGCTTCGGCCGCCACCCGAGCGAAAATTCAAAATTTCCTACCAACTGAAAATGTTTAATGTGTACTATGCGCTCATATGACCTTATGCAGTTGCGAGCGCCGTAAAACACTTACCAAAAAAATGAACATCAGCCTGTCAGTGGAGGCACTTTACTCCTTGATCCTGGTTTGTCAACGGTTGGGGGGGGGGGATGAGGGTAGGCTATTGTACGACGTTAATAATTAAAACATAGACACTGACATTATATTTGACTTATGGGTTTTTGTTGTTTAGTTTAGTTTTGATTTATATTGTTTTGTTTTGTTCTGTTTTGCTATGTTTTGTTTTGTTTTGCTTTGTATTTCTTTTTATTAAGTCCGTGGTGCAGCCGTTAGGTGCTTTGTCATCACACACAAAAGATCCAAGTTCGATTCCTGTGTTAGGAGAATTTTCAAAGAGTATCCCAGTCTTTCTGTTTGGACTTTTGATACTCTCAGTCTGGGTTGGTCCTGACAGGCAGGGTCACAGCCCGCCTCTTAAATAGTTTAAATTGTGTCGATGGGGGCGTGAAACACCTACATTTTATAGATTAGCTATCTGAGTCAAAACCACTAAATGCGTGAACTCTACGATAATGCCAACGGCCGTGTTGAGAACGTCAAGCCGCAAACCACCATAGGCAAATAAATATAATATAATAAAGTAGACTCCACATTATGAAATGATATCTTGGATTTCCGACTTACATCCGGCGCCATGCGCGCGCAGCTGTCACTTCCTGATCTCTCACGCTCACCCGGATATGTTTATAGATGTTTGTAGCCTAATACTTTTCATGTGCGCCATTTTATGTCTGGAGCAGCACAAGGATCAAAGAGGAGAGGCGAGCGGCTAGGCGCGACTGCATCAAATGTTACAGTAATTCACGTCTTGATTAACGCAGGTTTCAGCTTATGATCTCCTCGTCATCGCCGGAGATGAAGGGCCAGCCAGTTGAGAGAAGAAAGAACGAATTCAAGGGGGGCTACGAGTGCCTCTAGGCGGGAAAGACAGGGCCTCACTGTGTTTTGTTCGGTCTGTCTGTCTTTTTTTCCCTTTCAGTTCCTTTCCTTTTTCTAATTCAGTCTCTCTCTCAATCTCTTCTATCAGTCTCTCTCTCTCTATCTCTCTCTCTCTCTCTCTCTCTCTCTCTCTCTCTCACACACACACACACACACACACACACACACACACACACACACACATACAGAAACAAACTCACTCCCTCACGCAATAACTCACACACTCAGTCGCTTTCACATACACGACCCGCGTCTCTTTTTTTCTCACGCTCTCTTTAAATTCTCTCATTCTTTCCTTCTTTGTTGTTATCTTTGTCTGTATATCTGTGTGTCTGTTTTTCTGCCTGTTTCTGTCTCTCTACCCCCCCCTCTCTCTCTCTATCTCTCTCTCTCTCTCTCTCCTCTCTCTCTTTCTTTCTTTCTCTCTTTCTTTCTTTCTTTATCCCACTATCCCTCTCTCGGTCTTTCTTCCATCTCTTTAATCAGCTCTATTTTTCTCAGTCTCACCTCATCTATCTATCTATCTATCTATCTATCTATCTATCTATCTATCTATCTATCTATCTATCTATCTATATATCTGTCTATCTATCTATCTATGGGGGTTCTTGTGGTCTAAATGTTTTAGTGTTTGCCTCTCATTCAATAGGCCTCGGGTTCGAAACCTGACAGCAACGGAAAATTTTCTTCTCTATAATGTTCCCCTTTCACCTCTTTTACTGCTCTCTAACCGTGTTCTGTCGTCTGCTTTCGTCTCCACTCTTTGCCCTCCCCCCTTTCATTTTCTTTGCCTCCTCGTTTTCTTTGCTCCTTCCTCTGGTCTCCTGATTCTTTCTGCAGCTCTTCTACTGCTACTCCTTAGCTCCTTCTTATTGCTGTCTTTCAACCACACCCCAGATCTTTGGATAGGTAGGATCTAACACCTATCCCTCTCGGGAAAGGGGGAACAATCTCGAAGGTCCCGTGTGCAAGTTGCGCACTTTAAAGATCCCTTTGTGGACCAAAATCGATAAGAGTAGGCTTCGGCCGCCACCCGAGCACAATTCAAAATTAATTCCTACCAAACTGGAAAATGTTTCATGTGTCTCGTGCGCTCATGCGACTTTGTGCAGTTGCTGGAGACGTAAAACACTTACAAAAACAAAACAAAACAAATTGTTGCTATATGTCTGAAAACTATCCTCTTTGGGTTTTTTTTTTATTAGTGCTATAGATTCTATATCTGAACGCTATCCTCTACGTTTTCTCTATTTTTTGCTATGTATCTGGACAGCATCCTATACGATTTCTCTCCAACGCCAGTGGCGTCGGTGGCCTAGCGGTTAGGCTACCAGCCTCGTAATCCTGAGTTTGCGGGTTCGCGGGTTGGAGCGTCAGCTACGACCGACGTTGTGTCTTTGGGAAAGACACTTTACACGAATTTCTTATTGGGCTCGGACCTTTCGGAGACGAACGTTAAACTCGGGGATCCTGCCTCTTGAATAATCTAATAGTGTTGACAGGGGCGTTTAACTTACGTCACGACGTGGTGGAATCGGGCGCTCGTCCACTTTTAGGCATATTGGGTTATTGGTATCATCTTAAAGCCAGTTCATTTGCCTTCCTTTTGGTGAAAAAGCACCCATCTATGTTGAATAGAAGTCGAAATATTTGCGATTGAAGGAGGATTCTCAGGCTATGGAAGTTTTAGATGTAAAATTAACGAGAAAATGACCGCAAATGTTTGGTAACTTCCATAGCCTGAGAGTCACTGGAAACGGAAAATTTGCTTTTTGCGCCTTTAATTAATGTTTTTCAGCAAAATCAACTCAAAAATGTGTTTTTATATGGACATAAAGGTGTTGAACCAAAAAAAAAAATAAAATATAGGGAAAATAATGCCCATCTACCCTACCC